GGTTTCCAATAAAGAGGGCAGGATTTTCATTTAAAAGTTTTGAGCTTCTAGAGATTATAATAAATTCCGATTTAGTTCTTCCGCACTGAGGCGAGTTTGGGTGCCATTTCTGCACTATCCGGCATATTGTCTTTTCCTTCTTGTCCGAGACCGAGCACTGAAGCGAGATGATTATAATTAATTTGCGTATTAATATAATAAATATATAATAAATAGCACGTATTAACATTTTATAATATATAATACAATACATGTAATATCAATATAATTATGTTTATAATTATTAATAATTATTTAGGTTTAAGGGCGCTTCAACAGCTAACGTCATTGGCACCCCTGTCAAATTATTTCAAGTACAGTACGCACCGTGGCAGTGCCAAGCTAAAACATTTCTTAAAGCAAAGTAAAATGTAAGTAAAACTGAAAATGAACATGTTCAGTGATGAAAATATTTAAAGTATTAATTTTCTTTTAGTTTATTTATTTATGCATTTATATTATGTTTCATTTCACGTGCTCGAATATTTCTGTGTTAACGAATCCAGGCAATTTTATTTTGTTTTATTTTTTATAGAATGCGTCAACTATATTCGGCATTTTTGTTTTGTGTATACTGTTATCCGTTAATAAAAGAACAATTATGTTTCTTTTTCTTTCTTTTATTTCTTTCCTACAACCGTCAAAATTTCGCAGTACCTACGATATCTGGAGTATCTCTGGGTGTCCGAATATTAAAGTGAACCTCTGTATATCGGGGGTTATTCCGTAGAGAAGTTGCTGCTGAAGGTTGGTGAGGACGGTTAATTGTTTGCGACTTCCTGCCGATCACGCCTAGCGCCCAGCAGAACGTGACAGAACGTAACGTTGCGTTACGTAACGAGGGGGATCGTTACAGTATTATGTTGTTACGAAAGTGCTGAGTTTTCTTGAAAGTGCGTTATAGAGTATAACCTGTACTTTCACCAAGAAAAATCAGTTTCAAACTGTACCGTGATAATTAGAATCCAACCATTTTCGTGCAAAATATGCGTCAAGGAGAACACATGGTTTGTAGAAGTGTATGAGTTATATGAGATTGGTAACAGTGAGTGAATTCTATTAATAATCAATGAAAGGTTTTAAAAACTATATAGTTCTCAAATGAGCTAGATGATAAAGGGAAATTGACTTCTAATTTAGAAATTAGGTATATTGTTCATGCTCCAACGTACATTTGTGTATTATTGTTTTGTTTACTATTGTCAGAGCGAGCAATGCGAAAATAGCAATTCTTAAAAAAGATGTACAATAGGTACAGTATGTACATCGTAATATGGAATACATAAACAAATATTGAGATGTCTACCTTAATTGGTCTACCTTGTTCAATCCGTAAAACTGCTAGCATTCTCATACTGCACACGAGACGCCATTGACTATACTCTAATTTTATTCGGACCTTTATCTTCCCGCCCTCTACTTTCCTTCTGTCTTTACACTTTTCCATTAATTTTTCTATTTTCTTCACATTGTGAATTTCACTAGTTTTACGGTCGTAAGCCGCCATCCTGATTGAGGTTTTCCTGGGTTTACTCAATCGCTTAAGGCGTATAATACCGGGATGGTCTTGCATAACGGATATAAATATTAACTCTTACCTCCTTTTTTTCTTGTAATTTGTTCACAGTTTAGCCATTCTGGTGTAGGAGATAATTTCTGACATTTTGCGAATGTAAAATTATTTGACTTGCCACGCCCTTCATGTAATTAAGAAATATGGACTCTCTTTACATTGTATTAGCTTTAGAGCCCAGGTAATTGACAATGAAAATACATTCATACTTTACGTTTCATTACTTATGTGCAGCACATTTACGTTAGTTAATACGATCGTTAGGACTTTCGTAAGTAACGTGAATGTCAATTACCATTGTGCGCCAGTACCAGAATGCCTAAATTGCAATTATGTAAAATGGTTTGGCGGAATAGCAGGCCTTGCGGTCTGAGCCTCGCCGCTTATTATTATTATTATTATTATTATTATTATTATTATTATTATTATTATTATTATTATTATTATAAGAAACCTCTAACACGTGGTGTAGCCAGATCCATGTTCTGTGGGTCTTTGATACCAAAAATTCGATTGACGGCAAAACATCGGTCCATCTGTGTCTGAGAACGCTAGCGACTGAACCGTTCAGCCGATTTTCTCCTAAGATGATATTCCACAATCGATCTGGCTAAGTGAAAATTTCTTATAAACCGTGCACACATCATGGATGACGCATGAGCGACAATCTACTGCAATTTAATTTGATTCTAGAATGTACGATAGATCTGTTTTGAATATTTTCCGACGTAACGCCTGCCTCAAACTTTCTTTCCGCTCTAACATTACGCAATTTTTGGACGACCCCTAAAGGAATACCCACGAAGTCTACAGGAGACTTTATGGGAATACCGGTGCCGTATTTTCATTTGAGAATCCCTCCGAAATCCTGAATGGCAATGTTACCAATCAAACATCTGAAAAATCCTATCTTGAGGTGTAGTAATTGGAAGTCAAATGGTTTTCTTGCATGATTTTGTCAGTCGACTTTATCAGAACATATTAAAAGGTTGTTAATTCTTGCTGATATCATTTTGTTACTTCAAAATCGATTGTAATTGCTAACAGCTATTGACAATATGGAAACTCGGCAACAACTACCTAAATCAATGAGACGGAAGGTATTTCGTAATGTACATCGCGCCGCCACTTGAGGTTCAGAACAGCAAAGAGCAGAAGAGAAGTTATACAGAAGTCACCAGAGAGAATGATAACTGGAACTGACCGCTGTGGACCAGGACCACATTGGGGTGCAGTTGCGGAAATAAAGAAATATTAAACAAGCTGGACTTGACAATAATGTAGGAAATAGGGTTGATCGTATTCATTTCATAGTTGGCACTTGCACTATAGATACTGCTCCCTAAAACACTTTTGTCCAGTAAAAAAGTATGAAGGATCGGTTTTTGTGTTTCCCTCGCAGTTGCGTTGAACAAAGTTGAACGGTTTTGGTTTGGGAATGGTTGTTTTGGCCCCGATGAGTATTATATTAATTTAATTAAAATGTTTAGTGTCATGAGACAGGAACAGCTGCCAGTGTTTGAAAAATCAATTAAATCGAAAGTAATCTCATTGCATTGACCAAGTTATATCATACTCTTGGCTACTGTGTCAAATCTGAAGTGCAGATAAAAACTCGAAGGCAAAGTGCGATTTGCTAGCCACGAAAGTTTCGTGACGAAACTATAAGAAGAGAGACGTGAAAAGGCGGAGTGAGGTCATTGCAAGTTTTGTTGATGTGAAACTGTGGAAGAAATGAAATGACGTAGATCGTACATGGACTCCTTGGGCTATGACACGTATTTGTGATTGTCCATATTTTTCAATTTGACTATGGATTTCGGGAATTCAGTGACGTTTCTTTTTACGAACTCATTACACGTCCCTAGATAACAGCGACATCTTCAAAGACGTGCCTGCCGTCTTACGATGTGTAGTTCTAAACAATTAAAAATTTGTATTTGCCTATCAATCATGTGAGAAGGCTTCATGTCTTTCCGAAGGAATAGGGTCGATTTGATTCGCTAGAATGGTGTCAATTATTAAGAACCAACTTCTTAAGCATCTGTCAAGGTTTGTTCATTTAATGATTAAGTGTCTCTTCACGGTATTTTCCCCCTACTTAAATAATGTTTGATTATGCTCACAATAGTTGCATCATGTATATCACCAAACACCTTGTATAAATAATATCAGTATATTTTTGTTTTAGGTTCACCAAAAACTTATCTGCTGATAAAATAAATCTGAGTACTTTCAAAGGGGAAGGTGAACTGTCAAATTTGGAGTTAGATGAGATAGTTCTGACAGATCTCCTTGAACTGCCATCATGGTTAAGACTTACAAGTGCTTGGTGTAATAAAGTAGCTTTCCGGATTCAATGGACTAAATTAAAAAGTGTACCAATTTTTCTTGTAAGTGCTCTGTCTTTTTAATGTTTTAACTTCTGTAACAAGATTTTGACTATTTTAAAAGTGTTTTTGAGGTATGATTGGAATTTAGTAAGACTATTGTATTTTTTCCATCATGACAACTAGTTTTTCTTTAATTACAAGAGAAGATAATATACATGGAATTAACCCTTTTTATTTTTAGAGTTTAGATGAAGTATATATCAAAGTGGAAACCTGTGAGGAGTTGCGGTCCTTGTCAATGCAGCATGGATTATCATCATACACAGGCCAAGGAAAATATAGTTTTATTAACAAAGTTATTGATGGCATGTCAATAGCTGTCAACACAGTATGTGTTACTTTTGAGAGTCCAGCATTTACTGCTTCTGTCCAAGTTAGTATTGTCTTTGTGTTGGTAATTTTATAGACTTTATTCATTTTGCCAACAGTTATTTTAATTGCTGATAAAAAATTGTTTTGAAGATTTCTATTTGTCTTCTTACTAGCATTTATCATCACTGACTTTTTTTCTGGTGGTAACCTCTATCATTAGAGTGATTGAAGATGCACAAGTGGCACTGAATTTTTACATAGGCCTGTGGTATTTGTTTGACCTGATAGTGATTGATGTAATGTTTTAGTCTTATTTCAACTATGTAGATTAATAAATGAAATATGAGAATTGCTGGTGATTGAACTTAGAAAGCTACATACAAAACGTTTGATTTGCTTGTATCTTTTAACAATTTTATTAAGGCTTCACATAAATCACTAAGTATTATTATTGTAGTTTTTATCCTTAAGTGGTCAACCAGATTTGTTGGACCATGAGGGCCCTTTTTATTGTTCTAGATAGCAAACTTTCAAAGCATATGCATTTCACTTGTTTTAGTTAATAAAAAGTAATGGAAATATTTATTTCTGTCCTAGTTATTTTTGTAACATATTTGGTCAAGTAATTTTCAAGGATATATTGTTCTTTTGGTTAGAAACAAAACTTGATCTTCACTTTGATGTAACAATTGAAATAAATGTTGCTAATCATTATTTTATCTGTAAGACATCAAAGATTGGTAAGAGATGCTATGCGGTTACACGGTTTAAGAGTTTTGACTCTTTTCAGCTATTAGGAAGAAACTGATAAAGACAAAAAAGTTTTCTGATGAGAATATATTCCTTCTTTTGAAAAAGAAATAGATTTGATTGATGATTATTCAAAATGTTAGAACACTGACTCTAAAGTGAAAGAATAAAATCTTTGCACTCGCCAATTATAACAGTGTTTAGTGGACACTTTGTGTAAATATGTCCCAAAACTAGTTTTGTTGGAGGAGGATTAGAAAGAACTGAACTAAAATATTTTGAAGAGTTATTTATTCATAAATAGACTAAAGTAAGTAAGCAGATGCTTTGAAAGAAAGATGCTAAAGTAAGTGTTGTAATCAGATGGTTTGAAAGAAGGGAAACAAATTGCTGAAGAGCATAATTAAATTTCTAGTTTTATAGAATCTCATGCTCATAGTAGAAAAAAGTATGATTTCTTTCTTCTATTGTCTTTTTAACAATTATAATTTAATATTGTATATGAGATGATAAAGGAAATATTTTCCTGTAGCAACCAATAGATTTCATTAAATTTGCTATTGCCTTTAATACATTTTTGCAACCTCAAAATGATTTAAAAAGCTCCCGTCTTCTTGTTTGTAGAAAATATTTTCATGAATTATTTTCAATTCTTCATGTAATTGTATCATAATCTTTAACCATTAGATTTAGAATGAAACGTATTTATTTACATTGTACATACATTTTTATTTATGTTTGATGGTTTTGTTGAATTCCCTATTTGTTTTGTTTCAGATATCTCGAATTCTTGTGGAATCTAGAACTCCGAAATGGGAGAAAGGGGATCTTCGTGTAACACGTGTAAAGGAAGTTGGGCGGGGCCAAATATTGATTTTCAAGGAATTGCAGTGGCAAACAGTGCGCATAGAAGCCAAATCTACCAAAGACGAAAATTTGTCTCCTTTGCGGTTGTTAACAAATCAAGCACATTGTCGAATCACAATAAAGAAAAGACTTTCAGGTGGGAGAAGGTTTCTTTGATTAACTTTTGAATTAAATTTTTCTCTGAATATTGGATAGTCTTGGTATTCAATGATGGTGAAAGATGATTTTTCTGAGGGGCTTCATTAAATAATGGGGCTTGCTTGCTAAGAGGGACTCCATCAAGTTATCATTAATGAGAGAAGACCCCCCCCCTCTTTAATTAGGTCCAGGGTGCAGATGGGACCTTCTAGGTTGGTGGCGTTTGTTTAGTTGGCTGCGGGACATATAATGGGCTTTTTGTAAGCCTAATCATCTTAGTAGGTAGGATCATGTTAGTAAATAAGGTCACACTTGGTTAGAGTGACCTCAGTTGATAGGACCCAGTGGTCAGATGGGGCTCCCAGAAAAAGTGGGAACCCTTTTGGTAGGTGAGGCCACCTCAGTTGGGCTACTAACTTTCAAAGATGAAGGCCCTTAGAAATTAGAGTTCAATTAACAGTTTCGTGGAAATTCTTTTACATATAAGGAGCAATCTTGGTAGATGTGGGCTCCGTTCTCTGTAGGTAGAGCCTAGTGGGCAAATCGAGACTTGTGGTAGATAAAGCTGTTTTTATAGGTTGGTCTCACTTAATAATTGGAACCATCTCAGTTAGTGGGGCAGATGGGGGTCTCTCAATGAATGAGATACTTGGGAGTTGGAGCTGACATGATCTGTTCCTCACTAGGCAGATGGAACTATTTTGATGAACAAAGCCCCCTTACAAGAGAGGTCCCTGTGGGAGGTGGGGCCACCTCGGTAGATAGCGTACACTCGTGTTACTGAAGTAGGAGAGGTGAGAGGAATGATCGAAAGGGTGGGGGAGAGGTGGTCGCTGTAGCCTTAGGTTCCAGCTGTTGTTTCTTATGATAAATATAATACGGAATTTTGAACCCTCAAATGCAGTGTAAGTTTGAAGTTGTTTAGGATTCTTTCCATGAAGTTGGATTGACCATTAGACAACTCGAGCAAATGTAGCTAGGACCATGTAATTCAAAATAAATTTTGTAATTCAGATAGTTCAGTCATTGATCCATAGAATTGTGAAAGATGTGCTGAGGAATAATATCCTTAAAAAAAAAAACCCAACAACAACAAAACAAATCATCTTTCAACCTTAATAAATAACTTTTAATTTGAATATTCAGTAAATTGGTAAAATTTTCTATGTTCTTATGGGAAATGGATATAATAAATAATATTGTTGCGTGTTTCCTATTCACTAATTTTATTTTCAGATTGTTTCATAGTGGGATCTCGATTAGTTTTGATATTAGATGACCTACTGTGGGTCTTAACAGATTCACAATTGAAGGCTGCTTTGTGTTTTGTGGATTCATTGACGGGTTTAATCCAGAAATCTACAGAATTAACACGAACCAAAAAGGCTGCTCGTAAACTCGAAGTATGACTAAATTTTTATGTTGTTTTTTAGTTTTTTTTTTGTGTGTGTGTGTGTACGTATCATCTTCTGATATATGTTGTTTCTATATCACAGGAATTGCCAGAGTATCAAGCTCAAATGTCACAGCAAGCACGCAGTAGAGATGCAGCAGAAGCTTCTTCTACGCGTATTTTTAATCGATATGATGTTGTGGAAACATCATATCATTTTCTCTCAAAGCGTATTGATCTCCATTTGTGTGATGATGCTGGAGGTAATGGTTTTGACTTTAAAAAGTTTCCTGATTAGACAAACAATTTGTATTTGATGTAATTGCGGACAAAATTTTAACTGAAATCACTTAAACTAAAGAATAGGTTAAGGAAGTTAGAAATTAATTTTAATTGTGATGGATCTAATGAGTAGATGCTTGTTATTGCTGAGGGGCCAAGAATGTTTTATAATGTTGGAGGACTAAAACTGTGTTTGTAAAAAGATTGTTTTGATGTTACGAACTTTCCCTAAAAGTTTGGATAGTTCTTACAAAGAATAATGGAATTCTGTGTTGATGAGAAGTAGATGTAAAGTAGGCATTTTGAATGCTGCACATTCATCTTGGCATTTTTAAAAATATTTATTGATTTCTTTTTTATTTCAAAATTTAAAATTGGGAATTGGCTCAAGATTCTTTGAATTTATAATTCTTACAAATAAATTTGTTTTGTTGCATTTCATATTATCAGCTCTCATAATTGTGCATGTTATCAACTCTCATAATGAATGTATAATGAAATAATTCTTTCTTCAATGTCTGTGTAGGGGGGCGATCAGTACATCCTGATCTGAAGGATGGTGCAGCTCTTCAGATAAGCTTGGAGAGGTTTCAGGTAATGGAATTTGTCTTATGGCCTAATTTTAGATCTGTTAGAATTTTGACATTTGTGATTTTGGATCCGTTTGTTTATTTTTACATGGTTAACTAAATTTTAATTTTAATTTATTCTATGAATTGTCTTGTCACAATTGCTTGCTTGAGATTCTATTAATTTTCTTTAATTTTTTACTATTTTAAAAGTGTAGATAATATTGGAATTTGCCCTTTTGTTATTTTATTGCTAACTTCGGTTTAATCTCTTTCATCATTAGTAAATAAATTTTATTTTCTTATTTCTGGTACAAGCTCACATTCTGTTAGCTTTTCACACATGGCAAATTCACTATTGACATTCATGTATTCTTTGTAATTGCTATCAGTTGCCACTTTTTAGAGTTGCTAAGTTGTGTTGTGTTAATTGTAAATGAATTGTCGATTGTAAATCAATTTCTTGTTGGTATTATCTCATAAAAGATTCAACAATTCAAAATAAGTAAGAAATCTTAACATTATTTTAATAGGTGTCTCAAAGGTGGTTCTGTTCTAAATTATTATTAACATTGGAATTATCCATTTACAAATTATTCAGAAAAAACTGCATTTCGAAAGCATGTTTCAGATAGCTCACATGCGATTGAAAACATTAGAATGTAAAATTATGGATGAAAGGGAAATTGTTATTATACATTTTGAATATTGTAAAATTGATAACAGATTTTAAAATGCAGATTCTCTTCAGAGTACTTTTTCTTATTCTGCTGCTAAACTATTCATATTTGCGTATGATGTTATATATGAATAATTAAAATATCATGTTTTATTGATTGCCATTTTACATTTTTATCCTTTAATTTTTGAAGCATGATAATCGTAATGAAAAAGTAAATAAAATCAATTAAATGTACTAATTTTTGGTTGCTCTTGTGAATAAGTTAGTAACCATACATGTGAGTAACAAAGCTAATACCAGTAATGAGTGTAAATTAGCAAATCACATAATTAATATCACATTAATTAATATGAGCAATCCTCACAAATGTTGGACTCCAATCTATTCTATTGCCACTCCAGTTCAATATCTTTGTGAACCTTGTGATCAGAAAATGGAAAATAGAAGTTGAGAGAGGATTACAAATTGCAAGAGGCAAAGAAAACCATACTATACTCTACATAGATGACCAAGTAATTTTGGCATCATCTGATGATGACTTACAATGATCAGTGTTTGAACTGAATTCAAGGAAGGTGACCTGAAAATTTCTATAGCAGAAACTAAATACAATGGATTTCAAAAGAAAAGAACGCTGCAGAACCAAAATAGTAAAAGAAGATAAAATAATAGAACAAGTGATAATTTTCACTTAAATAGGAAATAAATTAGCTTTACGTGAAGAGGACATAGATACAAAATTGGCAAGATACAATAGAGTCAATTGAACAATAAAAAGTTTATTTTGAAACATGACCAAATGAACAAAAATCAGACTATAATATTTGCAGCAAATTTCACTTCCATATTATATGGAAATAAAATGTGGATCTTAAAACAAAAAGATTAGAAGCAGCCCAGATGAGATACCTGGGATCACTAATAGGAATATTAAGAAAAGAATGAAAAATAATTAAAAACCTAAGAAAAAGTCTGAAAATTAAAAACGTAATTAATGAAATAGAAAGGTACCAAAGAAAATGGCAAGATCATGTATGATCAAACTGATTCCTAAAGCAGAAACTGCAGTACAGACCAAGAAGAAAAAGAACCTGGCTGGGCAGGGAAAAGATGGGAGCCGTGATGACTGCTGTAGTTGTAATACCAGCCTCTGATGTGAAATAAATTGTGATATGGATATGATTGTAAACTTAAAAACATAAACATGTTAGTATTTAGAGAGTAGTGAGTTCTAGTGTATGAGGCCTGCTAGAGAAGTATTCGACATTTCTTTTTTCAAAAACCTGATGGATTTGGGGTCAAGTACAATTGCAACCTTGAACCTTTGTGAGCAAGTGTGAATTTTTTCCTTCCTATCGATTGTTTCTGTTGCTGACAAACAGCATTTGAGTGACGTTCTGTATAACAATTTAGTGGGCTTGTCATTGCATAGCAGAGCAAAAGAAACTTTGTACTGAAGTCTCAAGGGCATCCTGAACTCCACAAACATTGACCCTGACTTCATGAAGTCAGGGCACTGAGGAGTCCAGGATGTCCTTTGAGATTACAATACAAAGTTGCTTTTGCTCTGCCATGCAATGAAGAATCGATGAGACTGTTATATACTACATTGCTCAAATGCTGCTTGACAGCAACAGGCACAATCGACAAGCATGAACAAATTCACATTGCTCACAAAGATTCAAGGTCAGCTAATGCAATCGCACTTGACCCCAAATCCATCATGTTTTGGAGAGGAAAAAAATGTTTTTAAGATACTTCTAACAGACTTTGTATGTCAGGTAAGATTTGACAGTCATATTTAAGTCTTTCTCCCTTCTTTCAGATTGACTATTATCCATACCATTTAGCTATTGGTGATCGAAAACACTGGCCAGTTTATAGAGAAACAGCATCTCCACATTCACAGTGGTTAAAGCAGGCATTGACTTCATTTCGTACAAGTTTGTTGGACTTAATTGAGCCTGTTCGCTCCCAACATACTCCCCTGGGCCGCTCCAATGTAGCTTCTCCTCCAAGTTCTGCTGGCGAGAAACAGACTACCCCTCAGGTAATTGTATATTTTAGGGAGACTTTTATTTTTGAAAGATGAGAACTAGTTCAAGTGTAACTTTTTATAGGCAGAGCAGATGCAGAAACGGCCAACTCTTCCACAACCTACAGGAAATCCATTGAAAAATTATCTTCTTAGTCAGCTTGCAAAATTAATGACATCTTGTGTGATCTTGCGTGTTCAAGACTTCTCTCTGTACCAGATTACAACAAATAAAAGAAAACAAATGCCTAAAGAATTTGTTACAGGTAAGTTTTTTTATGTGTGAGCAATGTTTATTGTGCACTTTGAATTTCTTGTAAATATATGTCTATTTGGTATTTTGATTATATGTAGGAGATTGTGAATTGGAATAGTGGTGCAGGACAAATGCAACTGCTTTCTAAATAACTATTAAAAGAAATTTGTTAAATCATTGTTTTTCTTATTGTCTTGCTTTGATATGAACATCTGTTCGTCATCAAGTGAAGGCGATGGGGGTATATGTTGATGTACGGGAAAAGGGCATAGTTACAAAATTGTGCTAATGATTTCTCTTTCTATTTATTGTACAGCACAGCACAAGCGGAAACCTCGAGCTGCAGGTATTCTTATGTTGAATGTGTCCCCCAGGGCCTAGGCTTCTTGTAGATAGCATTGTTCTCAGTAGTTTCTAATCACTGTAGCTAATACTCTTTTTTTTTTTTTTTGTAGTGAAGTAGACTTAAGTTCACATAATAAGTGTTTGCATTTGTTAATGTGTAAATCTGTTGTGAGGAATACAACTGAATCCCATATTGGTGTGATCCTTCATTTTACTTATCTTTCAGATACCATGACATTTAACTAACGGATTCAGCAAGTTTCTGTTTTGGAGCCTAATTTGTCCCCTAGATGTAAATTCTATTGCTTTCTTGTAGAGGTTATGGAATTCACAAATGATCTTTCAGGAAAGAAACATTGGAGTATTCCGTTACATATTATTCAAAGTGTTTGCATATCTAGTTTGTATTAGGAAGATCAAGTTTCAGTAAATGTTCCAGTCCAATATACTAGAACTGATTAAAAGTTTTTCTAAAATATTTTGCTCATTTTTAGTAATCCCAACTCCATATATAAATGGTAGGTGTTGTCCAAATGTGTATTAAGCTTCTGACATACATATGGTTAGCTAATTAATATTATTGTTCGAGACCAGATATTCTAAAGAAGCTGGTTGAAAATTACAGAGGCTTTAAGTTTTAATCAGCAGTAAAATGATTAAGGAGTAGAAACCTCATGAGTCTATTTTTGTTGTGCTTGGAATATTGGTGAGCATATACTTTTTTCTTAAAAAATAGAGGTTTGTTTAAAAGTAGACGTGAGAATTTAGCAATGTCACATTTTTTGTGCTATTTGGAATTTGGAAATTATGATATACCAGTAACTTTTTATTTCCAACTCATGTGATGATTATCATCATTAAAATCTCAAATGAAACTTGTGTACATTGTGATTCATTTAAAATTATATTTAAAACGTACAATTGTTAGTTCAAATGCCAACCAATTGTGTATGCTGGCTAACTATTTTGTACAGATATGCTAACATTTAGGCTCTTTTTTATTAAGACATTGTTATTTATTTGTTAAAATACAAGATGAGCTCCATTAATGCAAACAATTACTTGGGTAATGTAGGGGGAAAATCCTTTTTAATAAACTTCAAAATATTTTAAAAGAAAAATTAAGTGCTCAGTGCCATTGAGCTAATATTATTTAAGGTCTGCCTCAAAATGATGAAGAATGTGGAATTTCATCCTTTTCAATTATTATTGAGTTGTATGCTCTGTTTTAAATGCCTCGAATATTTCTTTCTATGTTTCTTAGTTTTTGAGAAACTAATTTTTTTAGAAGTGGGTGCGAAGGTGCCACATTCCCTATTGTCAACTGTCAAGCCCTTAGTGAATGAACTTCAGATGCATTTTTCCTGCCTTAGAAATTTTTAAGAGATTCATGCATGTCAAACACAAATCATAAACCATAAAAGATAATGATATAATTCTTCTTGCAGCTTGAAACCCATGATTTGCTCTAGAGAATGTTAGAGAATGGATGAAAATAGTTATTGTATCTCTAAAATTTTTAGTTGAATGAACTGAAATGTTCAGAATATACTTTTAAACAATTAGTTTTTCTGAAATAATCAAATCTTGACTCTTTAGTTTTCACAGTACCTTTACCATTCTAGTTCATTCTCTAGAACATACATTTGTGATTAATATATGAAAAGAATTATCAAAATACATCAACTTGTTGTGGAGATTGGATTTCTGAAGTAAAAACCCATTTTGACCAATTAAGTATAAACAAATATAGAAAAATTAGAAAAAGAAATTGATCCCTAAGAGAACAGAAATCAACGTACAAGGGAAAACAAAATAGAAACAATATAATTTATATTATTTCCTCAGGTAGGCAGCTACCTTAATTGCTCTAAAAATGTTTATCACTCATCTTTTGACAGTGTAAATATAGTGATGGGTAGTGAAGATAAAAAAAGAATAACCCTTGCCTAAATATCACTCACCCTATTGTACAGTTATATATCTGGCTTTAAAGTGATGAAGTATTCAACCAAGTAGCCATCCTTTTTATGTGTTGAAATTTTATTTTCCCTTTGAAAACACTTCTTTTTGACTAAAGTGTGCTAATGTCATCTGGACCTAAGAATGGTACTGATGTTTTTTTTACTTGTTCATTTCTCTTGTCTGGTGACTGATCATGAATGTTATGTTTTTTGAGTGTCCTTATAGCTGTGGTCTTGTAATTGTCTTGTTTACCATGTATTGTGTCTTTAAAAACTTATCTTTCTTTCATGTTATGTCTTTTGAAAGTATTCTCTAATTGGCTAAAAATTAACACCATTCAAGGTAAAGGTGTTAATTTCATAAACATTTATGTTTAGAAATAAAATTTTACTTTTTCTTGATCAGTTTTTCTTTCTTCAGAGCAGCATAGAAAAGTAATTGCATTGCTAAACATTTGGAATGCATTAAAAGTGTTTTTTGAGATCTCTCTTGCTGAATCACACAAATAATGTGGAAGGTTTTTCTCAAGTTTTATTTATTTATAAAGAGTAGTGTTCCTTGTCAAGTCAGTATTTATTGGCTTTTAAAAGAAGTTTCTCTGTGAACTGTTTAATAAATACAGCCGATTGCAGTTATAGAGAGCCTCTATAAAATAACATATTTTGTTCCTTATATCAGATAATCACAAAGTATTAAGTTCTTAAGTATGACAGTTAATTATTTCAACAGTTCAGTAAAATATCCGGATGGATATTTCACTGTAATATCCAAATGGATATTTTATTCTACTGCTGAAATATATCCATAATTGTCACAAATTTAAAAATTCAAAATTTTCATACTTTATTTATTAACATTTAATTCTACATTGTCTACACTCTAAAACCTTTTTGCAATCTTAATTCTTCAGTACCTCTTGCACTGGAGCACTGTCTTAATTTTTGTGTCTTATTTGTCATAACTTTTTTTTTTCTGTTCTGAAAGACTCTCACCACATTCACAATGTTGTAGCTAGATCTGATTTCACTTGTTTTCAACTTGTGGTCCCCATCCTTGAAGTCTACAGGGTGGTCTGAAAATTAGTAGTCAGAAACTCCCACTGACAAGCTGGAGCAATTCTCGCAGCATCACAATCACAAACACTTTAATTGACCATAAATTAATAATGTACATAGAGTGGCCAATGACTTCAGTTCAGTAAACTGAAAGTTCACTTTATTCAGAGTTGACAGTAGGTATGTTATAACCTTCATGTAATCTCTGTTGGTATAGGATGCTATTGTACTTTGTTTACCAAATGTACAATAACACATGCCGAAATCTCAAAAACTTATCCACACAATTGCAATTAAAGATTTGAATACTAGGTTTCTTTTTGGTATACATTAAACAGAAGTTCAGAGAAGAAATAATGGTAACTTTTGAATAGTGAGGTGAGACTTTTTTGTTACAAAGAGAGAGAATTTTTTTAGAAATATTTTGTTACAAATTGGGAGTGGATAATAGGACGTTCATAAACATTACTGACCCCTCGGTCATGTGCTCAATGTACTTTTAAGTATTTGTGCTGAATCAGTGTTCTGTCCATCCAGGATCGTAAATTTTGTTTTGAAAAGTCAGGCAGATTGTAATCACAAATCTAGTGTGCCCCTTTCATAAAGAATTGTATGATGGCATGAGACTGCTCCCTAACTGTTGTATTCTCTACTGCTAAAGATCCCATACTTTTTGACTCTTTGGCAGCAAAAAAATATAAGTGCTTCCTCACAATCTAACTTCTTTGAGGCTAAATGTACCGACACTAGTTCAATTTGTCGCCGCCACTTAGCAGCACCAAAATAAACCAAAATTGCTTTACTAATGTCTGAAGAAGTGGTCCGATTTCCAATCGGTAAACGACATAGGATTTGTATTTAATATAAAATTTACGCTACGAAGCCTATTTGAGGAGAAAAAATGGACAAATGAGTTTCGGAATAGTTTTAGGAAGAAATTTAAAAATAGGGACTTATAGCGCGATGGCGGAGCGCTTCCTGAATCCAAAGCCATATCAATCGTCCATATCGGCAGAATAGGCGATTTTCGAAATCCATAAAGTGAAATTTGGCACAATACAATGCCCCCCTCCCCCATGCCGCGCCGCTGCGCGTGGGGGCGTCGGCTCTGAGGGGCACGAAAGCATTCCGTAAGAGATGAGAGGCTGGCTGGGAGCGAGGCAGGCAAGCAGTCGGTTCTCTTGTGACCCGACTGAGATTTGTCAGATACTGCTTTCGCTATTTTTCGCATCATAACATTGGTTTTACATTCTCGTAGACGTACATATATACTGAGTAATATATGTAGTATAGAGAAAGTTATATAATGATGCGGAAAATCGATTTTCATGTTTTGGGGCCCTCTGATACCGAAAAAAGTGTTTCTTTTGGTTTTTCAAAACGTCTGACTGTCTATCTGTGAATAACACTAGGGCCGAAACTACAAGTATCCTAGAATTTTATCGAAAGTGACTATTCACTGGTCGATCTGGCCAGTCTCATAGCTTTACAAGTTCGAAAAAATTTCTTCGGATTTGTTGTAAGAATAGTTTGAAATCTGTTCTCAAGGTGGCATAGGTCCGATGTTTACTGTTAACTTTGATTTTTGAAGGTTACAAAAGTTTGAATTTTTCGCGGCGTCTCCTCACAACTACAGTATTGCAGATAGAGATTTTTTAACAAACGAAATATGTTTTTCCTAATTAGTTCTTTCATTGACGTCATGCACATTTCTTTGAAAATGTTAGTCGTTTTTGTATAATATTGCGTGAAATTAGTGCATCACAAAAAATACTAAAAAACAGAATTATTGAAAATCGCCTCCACATTTTTTCAAACTTTTGGTAGGGATGTTTCTAATTGTCCTGTGTTAGATTATACGCCATATTGCTTTATTCTTTTTTTTTATCTTTCCAAACTTACACTTTTTTTACGTTTATCTCACGTCTTTAATATTTACCTTACCAGTGACTTGTATACATTATTGCGTTTGTTTAGTTAA